TTCATGGAGTTTAAGGCCAAAAGAAGTCATCAGATCATGTGCTCTGACCTCCTATATATCAGATACCATTAAATTTCACCCAGTATTGAGCCTACTAACTCATGTTTGACCAGAACCAACTTTCAAAAAGGAATCCGCTGTTAATTATAGTTTGAGTGTACCAGTAACAAAATTCACCACTTCTCCAAGGAGCTTGTTCCAATTGTCAATCACTCTCACTTAAAAACATGCACCTTACTTCCTAACTGAATTTGCCTGGCTGGAGTACTTTGCTTCTCTTAAATAAAAGGTAATCTTACTTGTTGACAGTCCCTTGGATGGTCACTTACTCTGAAACCTGCCTTAGGGTATGAAAAGCTTAAAAGTGTAAATATATATTTAAAAGTACTAAGAGACAACAAGAATCTACTTGCTCTATATGGATGTTAAGGATTCCCTATGTTTCCCCTAGCCTCTTTGGCCAAAGCTTCACCTGCCTCTCCCCAGTCCCCCACCCTCCATCACAGCTGCTATATTAGATATGTGTTTCATTCTGATGAATAAAAATAAGAGATTCTCCACTTAAGTTGCATCATATTTTTGGAATTTGAAGCTCTCAGTTTCTCAAGACACTTAAAAAGAAAAAGTAAGCATTACCTTCACCAGCACAAGTTCTTTGGTGATGTTGGACATACAGCAGTCAGCTCAGTAACAGAGTGGGGAATAGAACCCATGTCTCCTAACTCCCAGGTCCTTAAGTATCACCAACAGACCACATTACCTCCCATTAACTGTCCTCAAGAAGTCAAGAGTTTTGCATAAAAATGAATGGCATGATACAAGCCATATTTTGTGAAGCACCCTGGGATTATTAAGGGTGAAATTTGCAGTAGATATACAAAGCACTGCTTCCTGAATGAAGCAACCCCTCTACTTAATGCCTGCAACTTTGCAGAAAGTATGATTATATCCTGAAACAGAGAACTTCTCTGAGCATTCATATTTTCATACCGCTTCCCCCCCCCCGGCACGTTTACAAGTCAGCGACATTAACCAGCTGCTCAATTACTGTGCGCAGATGCGACCAAAAGAGCGTCTCAATCCAACTTCCCATGCGAGCAAAAGGCAGCGAGTGGAAAGGAACAGGAGCAGGTAGCGCGTGGCCCCGCAAGCTGCCGAATATCTGCAGCAAGCCCCCTCTTTGGGCCAGCGGGAGCGGGCTGCAGCGCCCAACAGAGAGACAACGCTGCCCGCACGTGAGCCGGTAGCCCGGCTGCAGAGTGGCC